ATGCAGTAATTTTTCAAGATGTCAGTGAAATTCTATTGTTCCTTGTATTTTAGGATTCAGTAGTCCATTTCTTCACCTATTATGTTAATAGAAAGCTTGTTGATTTTAGTTTTTGTACCTGTAAATAATTCCAATCCAGCAGAAACTGAAATTTCAAGTGTAGCTGCTTCATGAGATTGTTTAGAACATGTCCACCAGAGCCTCTTAAATCTGTCCAGACAATTCCATTGCTTGATTTGATCATTACTTTTCCCTATTCTTCACATTAAAATTTTACTTCACTTCTGAGTTTTCATTAGTGAATTTTGTACAGGAGATAAATTAACAGGAGTTAAATAAAACTGAATGTATCAGAATTTAGCAAGGAGGGAAGTGAGAAGGTAGTGAAGGAACTGGTGATGCCATCGAGTGGAGAGGATGCTGTTCAGGAAGAGTGAGAAGCATGGAAGGAACCTGTGAGAGAAAACAAAACAAGCATTGAGAAAGCATATGTACAGTAAATTGAGTACATTTTTCACATCATAGTTCTTAAAGCAAGGTGAGCATAAAGCAAACATGTTTTGGTTTTACTCAGCAGGTGACAGTGCTGAAGATTATAATCAATTTGAGAAATTTGTTTCCCGACTTGTATTTTATCCACGGTTTTTGAGCTACTGATAATTTTTGCTTCTCCTTCCTGATGGGTGCTGATAGTTTATGACCTTTCTTCAGGCCAGTGAGAGTAATCGAAAAGTACTGCTGCTAGTTGGTGATAATTGATGAACACCATGGGAATGACTTGTGTTATCAGTGCTGGTAAACAAACATCACATTTAAGCTCCTTTGAGAGAGTGGAAGTGAAGAAGAGAAAGATTAAATGTGCGTTGGGAGCTATTTATCAAATAGACATTCTGGGAGAAGTGGTACATACCTGATAATAATATCAACAGACTTTGCTGCTGCTGTTCACAAAGGCCTGCCTGACAGCGGCTTCCCAAGCATCGATATTGTGCTCTGGTCTTAGCTGACATATGTGGAATCTTTTTTAACCCCCTGGCTTTTACTACTAGCACATTGTTGTTGCTGGTAGGCCAAGGAGAGATTGGGGGTTTTTTCCATATTGTGACCATAAGTTGCATTTGTATGTTTTCCTTAATTTTGGTTATCCCTATGTTCTGAGTAAGAACAAAAAATGTTCGTTTCATTGAGAGTTTGAGGGCTGCATGTTCAAGGAAGATACTCTGTGAGAAATACTGTTAATTTCTTGTTTAGCCAATGCAAAAATACTTAATCAGAATGAACTGAAAATTTACTGCAAGCAGGAGGAGAAATGCTGAAAATGTGAAGTTATGCACATAGTTTAACAAATAAACAACAAATCAAACATTGAACAAACAGGGTTTTTTTTTTTCCTAACGTTTTATGACAAGTTTAATAATAATCTTAAAGAAGTTAATTCAGTTTGGGAAAGTTGTCCAGATAGAAGTCAATAGCAGCAAAGGGATTTTGGAATGATAAGGGTAGCTGAGGGCTGGTTTTCAGCACAAGTTCATGACCTGATACCCTTCCTCTTTCTTTTGTCTTTGCATTAGTCATTCTCTGTGAAATTAATCATGAGGTCTGATATCGTCCCAGCAGATTTTCCTTTTGTCTTTGTCGACGCTGAGGACTTGAAGCCACAAATTCTCAGCCGTACTGTGGGGCTGGGAAGAACCCCCTCAACTGGAATGCTCTGATATTTGTCTTGACTGCTGACAACTATCACATGTGCAAGTGATGATAGCTCTTTTGGGTTTGACTTCTCACTTTGCTGGGCTTTTTTGACAGAAGCACTCCTTGCTCCTGCAGTTCCTCTCTTGAACCTGGCAAAGTCTGAGACTGTTCATCTCTTCTGCTTGTCTAGTTTTGGTTAATTTTGTCTTACAGCCACATTTCAGATAATGAATTCTACTAATGAAAAGGCTGGAGCTTCTCTTCTGCCTTAGCAATGCAATTATCAGATTTGCTTCTTTTTCCTAAGTCTGTCACCAGTGCTAGATACCTGTGAACAGATGTTTAAAAAAAGGAGGTAATTTTGACTTCAATGATAGAAGGTAAAATGCTTTCAAATATTCCTATAGCACCTGTACCTGGGGCACAAAATGGGTCTCCTAATTAATGCTATATTATTATACTTCTTGTAAATAAGGAATTGTTTTTCTTTTTTTTTCCTTTCCATTTGAGATCAATTTATAGTAAATACTTCTGAGAAATCAAAGCATGAGAAAGCTAGTTATTATGGTAAAAAGCTAATTTCTCTAAATTAGGTACTTTGACAAAGATAGTTTTTTAAAGATGTGGCACATAATGGTGAAAGATTGGTAAAAGCATTGTTTGAGAACTGGTATTTTTTGAGCTTGTGCTGGACAGGATAACTTCAGGATGTTGATCTCATCATGTTTTAATAGCCTTTCCTGTCTTTGTGTCACCAACTTATTGTTAAAACAGAGGAAGATTCTTTATTTTACTGAGTAGCAAAAAATCAGTGAGCAAACAGAACAGAAGCAGCACTCTGGATTGGGGGCTGTCCTTTGTGGGAAAGATTTAGCTCTTAAGTATCTCATGATTGACACAGCAAGTCAAACTTTAGTGGTCACTCCTGGTACACCACCATCCGAAGGATGGGTTTTGTGTTGCCCTTTGTCTCCCCGTGCTGCTGGCAGCAGTGTTTTTGCAGCAGTGGAGTAAACTGAATCATAAAAGTGCTCTGAATTAGCGCTGTGCTCCCTCTTCCTTCCAGCCTTGGTTAATTTTAACTTCGAGCTAGCTGATTAAATGCTTGGGTTTGCCCAAGGAAGAGGACACGCAGGGGTGTGTACTTGAGAGAAATGAAGTAACTGGCAGATGTTAAACTTCTGCATAAATGCCAAGTCATGTCTTTAGGGCAACGCTGAACTGGCAGATTTCAGCTTGAGTGTGAAACAATAGAGTGTCTTAAGTGGAAAGGAGTGTAAACTTAGGTCCCTTTGGAGAAAGAAAAAAGAAAGGAAACCAGGATTTTTTAAAACATTGATTTCATGTCAATAAAGCAAAAACGCACCAAACACAAGCTTAGATGGTGCTTTGTTGTTAACACGTAGAGTGTAACACCTACTGGCTTGCCTGGTTTTCTTGCCAGAGGAGTTTTTACACTATGTTGACATGAGTCTTTTTTAATCATGGCTGTTGGCTGGCTGAAGTCTTGGAATTCTGGAAGCAAATTTTTCAAGAGGGGAAAAAAATACTTGATGGGAAGATTATATTTTCAAGTCCTGACACACGTTTATGTGGTATAACAGAGAGTGGTAACCGAAAACCAAGCCGATTAATCTCTACAGCTTTGCTGCAAACACTGGTGTGTTTGTGCTGACCTGTTCCTTTGGTACTGTGTCAGGATAAAAATGTTACTTTAACCTGTGATCTCTAGTTTGTGAAATTACAGGATTTCCTGCTTGTCCGTAATTCTGCTCCATGTCTGTTTTTAAAACTCCTTCATACTGCCATAAGGAAACAAGCTATAACAAATTTCTGCTAAATTGGTATTCCATTCTTGAAATTATTATAGTCTCCCTTGGTTTTTGCATCTCTTGGAATTGAAGCAGTAGAAAGAAAGTCTCCTTTTACTGAGAGCGGTCGTTCCAGGTCACGGTGTTGGATGTTTGTGCAGGCTGCAGATGGGAGACACTTGGCTCAGCTGAGCCAGCTGGAGTGCAGGGCTGGCTTTGTTGCCTCAGGAATATGAGGCTGCTGCCTGCTCAGTCCAGTTGTGCTCATAGTACAAAGCCCTGGAATACAGACAGTGCCGTGTTTTGAGAGGGGGAGACTAGAGGAAAGAGAATCTTCTGCTGCTGGAACGTGCTTTTTGAATTACAGTTCCCCATGAAAACGTGTGGAAAGTAGCATGTTGGGTTGTAGAATAACACTAACAATGAAAATTCAGTTCAGAGTACTTTTGAATATAAAAAGAAAGAAAAACTTTTAAACCAAGCCATCTTTCTTTTTATGCTTACGTCATGTACTTCAGGAAAAGTACTATACAAATAGTTCACAGATTCTTAACATGCTGGAAAATTTTTATATTCTCATCTATAAAACTGCAGTCTTTCCAATCACAGATTTCAAAAGGTGCCCAGAAGGCATGAAATAGTTTTTCTATATCTGAAAGTGCAACAATGTTGAATTTTTATGTTATTGGATGTAGCCTAGTCGTTAAAAAAAAGATTACATTGCAACAAGAAACTGAGACTTACCTTATAATTTTTCCCTCCCCCTTGGTACATGTGATACATGATTTTAAAACTGCATTAACTTAGATTAGCGTGATGGCAAGCATGAAAATTTTGTGAAAGAGGTGAGAGTCGTTCCATATTTTAGGGGAGACAGAGGAAATGTCTGTTGTGTGTTTTGTGAGTGTGGCTTTGGGGAGCTTTTAGCCTCACTTTCTGAGCAAATGAAGCTGATGTATTGGCCAGGCCATCCAGAGGTACTTCTGTCTTCCCATACCTTTGTAACACTTGGAGAGTTTCAGTTAATTTGGCAGGAAGACAGAGTGTGTAGAGGGGAAAGTGCCCTGCTAATTCCTGCAGTGAAGGGGATGTGCGTGCTTAGTGCACATCAGAAATCCTCAGAGGTGTACGTAATGAGGCTGGAAATCCAAAGAAGTCAGAATCATTGAGTTTGCTGCTCTCCAAGCTGCTAGTTTATTTGAAACTGTGAATATTTGCTATGAGCTATTAGCAGGAAGACACAGTGGGGTGAAAGACCAGTGAAGTATCCAGAAGTGTGCAACAGGTAAGTCTGCCACACGACCTCATCTGTGGCATGGGAGTTGCTAGAACTTTATTTCCAGCTGATGTCAGTGATGAATTGACACCTCAATCTTTTCTTTTCACATTAAAGGGAGTTTAAAGCGGCGGGAGGGAACGTTGCGTTTGGAGGTGTTGGGGAAACTTGGCTGACGCGGCTGTGGCATCGCTCACGTTCCTGCTCTTGTCTTCTGGCAGTAACATGTCTGATGCTCTGGCCAACGCGGTGTGTGAGCGCTGCCAGGCGCGCTTCAATCCTGCCGAGAGGATTGTGAACAGCAACGGGGAGCTCTACCACGAGAACTGCTTCGTCTGTGCCCAGTGCTTTCGGCAGTTCCCAGAGGGACTCTTTTATGAGGTGAGTTCTCAGACTGTGTGGAACGTAAGAGAAATAGCTCCGTTAAAATGCAAGGAATTAGCTGAAGATTCTGGCAGAAATAAGAATTTTCAGCTTTCTTGCGTGTTTAATTTCTTAGCCCTAAACCTCTGTTGCCAATTTTTTTGAGGAGCTTCCAACTTAATTTCCCTTTTTTTCTCCTCACATATTCCCTCAGTAACAGCAAAAGCTGCTCTTTGGGTATGAGACATTTCAGAAAGAAAACTAAAAGTGTTTCTTAATCATCACAGAGTCATAGAATGGTTTGGGTTGGAAGGGACCTCTCAGATCATCTTGTTCCAACCTACTGCCATGGGCAGGGACACCTTCCACTAGACCAGGCAGTTCAAAGCCCCCTCCAACCTGGCCTTACTATTTCATTAAACATGAGTGAATTCTTGTTTTTATTCTTAGACATTTTGTACCAAACTTTTTCATTTGGGCAACTGAAATAGGTGAACCCATTGAAAAATGACATGGAAATTTTTTTACAGAATGTGCATGAGCACATATTATGAATAACACATTATTTTAAACAGGCTGTATATTTTTTTTGACACTAGTTTTAGCCTCATGTAGTAGGAGTAGTTCTGAACTAAAGTAAAGCAAAAATTAAATTAAAGGCAACTGTAGGAAAAGGACTTTGATTCTTCAGGATTTTTACTGTCTTGTGGCAGCATTGCTGTTAATGTAACTGTTTGTTGTGCACATTCACCATGAGGCTGAAGCCATATCTGGATATTTCTTTAATAAAAGCCTTTAGGAATTGAAAAACAGGGGTGTGTGGGGGAGCTAAAACTGGAAACCTTGAGTGACCTTGACTAATTGGTCATTTCAATGGACAATGATGCTGAACTGTCGAAATGTAAAAGTTGTTCAGTTATTCACGAGGGCTCCTTCTCTCTTGTTTTGTTTGCAGTTCGAAGGTCGGAAGTACTGTGAGCATGACTTTCAGATGCTGTTTGCTCCTTGCTGTGGGGAATGCGGTAAGATGGGGCAGATGTCAGCACCGTGGGGTGACAGCTACAGGGCTGTGCAAACCTCCCAGCGTTGCTGTGACATCCAGCCCTGGGCTGGGATTGCTGAGGTCATTTAAAGGAGCAGGAGGTCTGGATGGAAACAAAGCATGATACTGCTTTGTTAGACTGTAATAGTACTTGTGGAATTGAAGTGATGAAAGGATTATGAAGGCAGTAGATTTTGATGATTGTTTCCTGATGCATCTCACGCTGTTCCTTTTGCAGGTGAGTTCATTATCGGGCGTGTTATCAAGGCAATGAACAACAACTGGCACCCAGAATGTTTCCGCTGTGAGCTCTGCGATGTCACCCTTGCTGACCTGGGCTTTGTGAAGAATGCTGGCAGGTAAGGTAGAGAAGGAGCTTGGAAAGATAGAGAAGGAGCTTGGAAAGTTTTATCAGTGTGTTATTGATACAGCAGTGAGATGGTCAGTTAGTTGTACACGGACAAAAAGCTTGGAAAGGTACAGGAGAAGCTTTAAGGAATAACCTTTTATATGAGAAATGGAATGAAGAACAGTGTTCTTCATCCAATGAAATATGTAGAAACTCAAATTTTAGTAGGTGGTGGGTGGGTTCTGGAAAAGAAAGGGATTTCAGGCAGAAGGAAGATACATGAGAAAAAGGGATTATGTGATCCCGGGCAGGCTGTTTAGCAACTAAGCTGCTGAGCAGGAAATCAGGATATAAAAGAAGGCCAAGAGAATAACATGATGATCACAGCAGTCTGTTCAGCTTGTGATTTCACTGGTCTTCAGAAATCATTCATTTTATATACAGAAATATAAAAATGAGTCGTAGATGTTGATTGATACATTTAATTAAAAAGTAGGAAATAAAAATACAAAAGAGAGCTTATACAAAAGCATTCCATGATAAGAAAATAAAACAATCCAGCAATTAGCAGACAGTGCACAATTCCGAGTTAATTTTAAGCTTTCATATGTCATGAGCAAAGCCGAGTAGTTTATCCTAGAGTTTATATTTTCACTAACTAAATGGTGAAGAAAGGAAGGAAAGGTTATATACTTGTATGTTGTCCATCAGGGAGTCCTCTCAACTCCCTCTTCTCTTCCATTCTGTATGCAATTTCTGTGCCTTTGTGCCAGTTGGAGCTGGGCATAATTGATTTTTCTTTGACACCTAAGCTTGTTAGAATGGGCTGTTGGGATAGCACTTAAGGCGTTTTGGGAAAGTGGTTAGGATTGAAGCAGTTGAAGCAAGATAAAGTATGTCTGTCTTCATAATTTGTGGGCCGAATCTACAGTGGTAAAGAGCTATAAAAATGTATTTCACCTGTCACGTGATTTCCTAAAATATTTATCTCCATAGCATTGAAACAGTCTTCTAGTAAATATTGGAAACTCTTGCATTCTTTTTCACCCTTCTTACAGTACCTGGTCTTCTCTAGTCTGCCTGTCATTTCCAAGCATATTCTGCATGATGCAGTTTGTATTAGTGAAAATAAAGATAATCCCTGCACTATCCACAGGGAAGGAATAGTCTCGCTAGATAAGTCACAAAAAAGTTGTAAACCATCTAAAAGATAGGAATCTCTTCTGGACCAAGTAGACTTCGCTTCTTCAAGCACTTACTTTTCTTCACTTCTGCCATTTGGGTTCATACTTTTACAATTCACTCTGTAGCAAACATGAATGCTGTGTTCCTAAACAGCCCTTTTCCACCCTGCAGTTTGAGGGTTATCAGGATTTCTGGGGTTTTGTGGGGAACTACATAAAAGAGGCAGTGTATTAATGTTGTCCAGCCGCTGTCTGCAGCTTTGAGACCATGCAGAGTGCAGATAGCGAAGGTAGTGGGAAGTTTTGTGCTCATCTCCAGCTCTGAACGCTGGGAAAAATTAAAACCCCCCACATTGTAAGTCCTTGTCTTAATTCAGTCCAGGCTAGGTTCATTGCAGCTTTTGGTCTTTTTTTTTTTTTTTAATCTTGTCATCATTTAGTACCAATTTTATCTCCACTATATATAAATGCTTTGAATTTGGAGACTTGGGCAAGATGTGCTAGGGTGTTGTTTCTCATCAGGCAGGTCTGTCTCAGCAGTGGATCTCTACTGCTGGCACAATATGAAATTTTATAAAAGGCTGTATGCACTGTGCAGAAGAAGAGTTGTTACTGAGTGCTTTGGGATTAAGTTCTTTGAAAAAAATCAAAAAAGGTCCATTTTCTTCTTTGCCCCTTTCCCTATTCCTAAGTGCTCGACCCTCAGTTTCACATCTTGGAAATCAGTAGTACTGTCTTTCTGTCTGCAGTTTCAGTAAGACAAGCACATGTGATCTGTGTTGTCAGAGGAGTTCTTGCTAATTGCAGTCCCACAAAACCAACAGAACTTCCCTTCTTGGGATGAGTTTGACTCTGTGTGGACTGTCTCACTACCTGTTTGTGCTCTCAGCTTCTTTTGGTGGAAGAGAGTGTCCTTAAGTCAAAGCAGTGACAAGAGTCATGTTCACAGTTCAGATTTAGCACTTAGTGAGCTTTCATTTGTCTTACCCTCGTAGGTTTGAGGCAGCATTACAGCCTTTTTAATGCAAAACAGATTGCACAAGGCCTCACGGAATTTCTCAGCTACGAAAAAATACATGACTGGGTCCAAGGCCCCGTTGAGACTGGTGAGGCAGGAGGTGACACGGTTGCTGAGGGCCAGGATACGCTGTGTGTCACAGGAAGTCTTGGTCCCGTTGTAGTGGAGGATATAAATGTAGCGATTGACGTGATAAGGTACAAAGCAAATCAGAAAGATCATCAGGACCATGATAATCATTTTGACAGCTTTCTCCTTCAGGTGTTTCTCAACTCTGTTCCCACTCTTCAGGCTTCGGATGATGAGTAAGTAGCAGGTCACTGTGGTAACGAAGGGGAAGGTGAACGCCACTGCTAAGGACACGAGGGCGTGACGTGAGGCCTTTTCTCTGTAGAGCTGCAGGCAGACGGTTGTGTTCTTCATCTGGACTGTCTGCACGCTGAGCAGCAGAGGTGCCATTGCCACCCCAACAATGACCCACAGAAAGGCACATGCCACGTGGGCGTATCGGGACCTGCGGAGCTTGATGGACTTCACAGGGTGCACAATGGCCAGGAAGCGGTCGATGCTGATGCACATGAGGAAGTAGATACTGGCATACATGTTGAGGTAGAAAAGGAAGCCGGTGAGTCTGCAGGGGATCTCACCAAACGGCCAGTGGTTACCAGAAAAATGGTACACCAGCCGGGTGGGAAGTACCAGCACAAAGGACAGGTCAGCCACAGCAAGATGCATCAGGAAAATGTTGGCAGGTGTGCCTGACTTCTGGTCCCGAACGAAGAGCCAAAGAGCCAGGGCATTGCCAGCAAAAGCCAGGATGAAGTCCAGGAAGTAGAAAGTGGCAAAAAGGATGTTCTCCATGTGTGTCTCTTTGCCACATTGCTCTGATGTTTCCAGAGCAAAATTTGATTGATTTGAGCAATTGAAGAGTGGGCTTGAATCTGCTGGGCTATTCATTTTTCCCCACGGTTTTGAAGGAAAAAAACCACCCTAAACCTGAAAGAATGAAGACAGTATATTACAAAAGAGCCTGGGTTTGTGGAACAAACCAACAACCAGCCCAAAAAAAACCCAACAAAACACCCAAAAAACTACACATTGAAATCAGTGGTGTCTCCTGTTTGCTAGTATTGGTGTTTAATGTGACAGGTCAATCTGAGTATAAACCCTTATATTAAAATAGTGAATACCCCCTGCCTGGCTAGGTTTTCTAGACCAGTAATTCCTGTGGAGGGAACCTTAATAAAGAACTGTGGCCAGCTGGTGACGAGCTTTCTCCAACCTGTGCAAGGTCAGTTGTATAACCAAGTAGTGAGGTGCTTGTGTCTAGTTAAGAGGAGTGGAAGTGAGTTCTGTATGTCAAGCTAGAAAGTATTTGCCATGTTTTACTTTGAAATCCTGATTCAAGACTGAAGGGCTCCTAATGAGTAAGCTTTTCTGAGCACAGGTGTATGTTGTAAGGTGACCTGGTTTAGAATATCTGCATGTTCTTGTTCCTAGAAGAGGTGCAAGACAGGTCAGGTATTGCTGTTATTAAAAAAATCTGCAGGGTTCCTGCAAATCTTTGAGGATTATTTAGTCTAAAGTCTTGTATTTAAGGCAAATTTCCAGTACAGCTGGAAAGTTTTCAGATAGGTAGCAATATCCTATTTGACACTGAATTGACCTAAAGGTTATTAATAATGCCCATGCTGTCAATCACCTGTCAAAGTGCCATCCTTCCCTGCAGCTTTTCTCCCCCAGCATAGCTCTCCCTCAAAAGTCTAAACTCCATGTAGCTTATTCAGGGCCTTTTCCAAGTAGCAGCTTAGTAAAACTGAGCTTAGCTTTGCCAGTCTGTGTTTGCAGCGTCCTGAACAGCATCAGCAAAAAGTGATAAGATTTTTCTGGGTACCTCCCCATGGCTTTTTATACATTGTTCATCAGTGGGTGGGGAAATGCAGACCATCTGAAATTCCAGCATTGTCTCTGTTTCTTGGATTCCTCAGAGGTGTTACAGTGTGTGCAGCAGTACCTCCATTGTAATTAACTGTTGCATTTTGTACTGACCAACCATTTCTCCATGTTACTCAATATGTCTTTAAATATATCCAATATACAGTGCATCCAGCTTCCCAACATAGCTCATTATTCAGATGTCTAAAAATATTGGAATAATCAAGAAACTGAAATGGGATTAAGGACAAATATATTAGAAAATGTAAGCAGAATTCCAAGATAATTAATCTTTTGTTTGGTTGCTGTTACTTTCAGGTGAACAGAAAAGTGCAAGTAGCTAGAGATTAATGTGCTGGACTGTTTCTGTTTGATTCACAGTTGAAGAGACAAAATAACAGAAGGGGGACTGAATGAAATTTAGAAATTGAAATTTCTTCCTATGGCCACAGAGGGCCCTTCTTACTCCATGCATTGCCTGGATATCCTTCCAGATTTGAGTCTTAATAACAAGTTATTGTCTTGCCATTACTTGCAACTGCATGTGCAAGGAAGACTGTACAACCCTTATGTCCAAGAGACATTTTATCCCTAAAAATACATGGGAAATCCTGCTTTCATGTACTAAAGGAAAATGCCCTGTTGCAGGTTTTTTGTATGAAGCTCATGGGTTTGCAGAGAAGCCTGCAACTTTTTGTTTCTGGTGTTCATTTGTCCCTTACAAGGTAAAACTCAAAAGTATTCTTGAACACAAGAGTTTGAAGTTTGTATGTGATGGTAATGTTAACTCAAATACTTGTCCTCCCTGGATGGAATTAGTTTAGGTATGTGTTTTTGTGTTCCATACCAAAGGAGAAACACGAGACCATGCCT